TTTTATCATCAAAGAAAAAAAAGCTGAGTATATATTGCACGGAATGTACTGCTTGACGTGAAATAAATAGAACTGGTTTCAAACGAATATTCTGATATTGACACATGAAGGTGTGTGTACGCACATATTCAGAATATAAACTTAAATAAAAACCGGACATTTTTTGAAGATTCAAAATACAATTATCAAAACCCATGCTGTTACTGCCTCCACTATACAAAATGTAACCTGCGTTGTTAATCGTAAGTAACTACATGATAAGATAAAGAATAAATAATGTATATAAAGTCATTCTCTTAAACTTTTTTTTACAGACGTTTTTAATGTGAGTCCAGATAATTTAGTCGGAAAAAAAAGATAGGTTTGTGGTTTTTTTTACCTCGAATTTGTTTGGAATGCTAAACTAAACGAGTATTATTTATCTCGTTACATTACGGTGATATTGACACGAAAGACAGTAAGACCGATTAAAATTATTGATGTCAAATGTATCTAAAATATGGATCTGAATATGAGAGAATGATAAGATAAAGAATAAATAATGTACATAAAGTCATTCTTGTAAGCTTTTTTTTATAGATGTTTTTAATGTGTGTCCAGATTATTTAGTAAAAAAAAAACAAGTTATGTTTGTGGTTTTCTTATCTCGAATTTTTATTGAGTGCTAAGAGATAAATGTTACTATTATAGCCTGATAAAGGAAAAGGAGCTGAAACTTTCATCGACACACGTGTTGACGGCTTCTCCGTGTTGACTGCTTGCCAGATAGTGAGAATGTCACGTGTAGAGAAGAAAATCTAAGGTCAGAAATCACAATATTTTCCGCTAAGCATCTTTTGAAAAAAAAAAAAAAAAAAAAGAAGAAAACACCTAAGATCACACACATTTTGTATAAATAAAGCCCTTCGTAAGGTGTGAGTACATTTCTTCTGCATCATTAAACCTTCGGCTACCAGGGATCCCTACAATGAGTCTTATCTTCAAAGATACAACGCAGTATACAGGGAGTGCCATGTCAATAAGAAGAGATATTGTTTTTGTCGTCTCTAATCACACTTTCTGGACGATTGATTTTGATTGATCTATCTGTGTGTATTGGAAAAACCCATAAAACTGCTACATTTCCTGCCTCTGTAACTGGTTCTGGTTGATGTCCATACTGGTTTCTTGCAGTTTCCTTCCCGTAACAGTTGCATATTTTCTAATGCAGATATTGGTTCACTCTATTCATGCTGAGTTTTATATTCAGTGGACAAATTATTATTATTATTATTATTATTATTATATTTCGATGTCTGCTATGGTCACATTACTTACTAAATCTGCGAGAAGATCTATGGCAAGTAGTGCTGTGTTGTTATGTCTACATTTTATGATTTGTTTTTCTACCTCCCATAACATCACAAGTTCTTCTTGGTGTGTCTGCTTTACTTATCAAGACAATTTTGAATTTCTCTTAAGCAGATATTTCCAGGGATTCATTCATGGTGTTGTTGCGTTTCATTTTTATCATTCCAAGAGCATTTAATATGACTTGTACTATTCTTGTTTTCTACTTCCACATTTTTTCGATTTCCAGATGTTTATACTTCGGTAGTTTTTCAAATTATTTGTTTGCTCTGTGGCAGTCCGCTGGGCCAGCCGTATCAATTAATAGGCCATTTTTTCTTTTCTGTTTCTGACAATTATGTCCGGGCTATTTGCTAGAAACTTCCTGTCTGTAAAGATGGCGTAATTTCATAGAATGGCGATATCTTCTATTTCTTTAAACCGGTGCTGGTTGATGTTCATACCAGTGTTTGTTAACATCTTTTCTATAGTATTTGCACATTGTCCAGTGTAAATATTTCCCCAATCTATCGTGGCGATATTGACATTCAATTAGCGAAAATAGAGAACATTCTAAGATTAGATGGGCTATGATTTCCTGATATTTGTCACAGAACCTGCATTTTGGATTCACACTATTATGTATGATATTTGCGCTTACGGTCAAATCACGCTGAAAACACCGGTTCTCGTTCGATCACCGAAGTTAAGCATCGTAGAGCCAGGTCAGTACTTAGATGGGGGACCGCTTGGGAACACCTGGTACTGTAAGCCCCCAAAGTTCAACCTTACCTCACAGTCGGTAGGGGGGTGTAAACGGTAGTGTCAGAGCTATGCCCGGAACTTCGTTCCTGGTAGGGCCACCAAAGGCGGACAGGTCTGACACACACGCCGGCTAACAAGGGCTCTGGTGAAAATCCAAGGAGAGTCTGCATCGGCAACCGGCGGCTTCTGGTCGTTCCTGTCTCTGCGTCTGTGGGAACACCGCGGCAAGCAAGAACGTTATCCGAGTAGGCCTGGGTACCCTACTTCTGTAATTTATCCCAAGAATCTTCTTCTCACAACAGGAAAAAGCCGGCTCAATCCGCCCAGGGTGAATGCCGCATCAAGTACAAGTAAGTAGTATGATATTTGCCTGGAAGTTCCTAGTGAAGTTACTTGCACTGAAAGAATAAAGCCTCCCGTCTCAGCTTTTAATCCAAATGCTCGTAACCATCAACGAGTGTTAACTTTATCAACGTCGGCTTTATTAGCCTCGTTCTGGATATTAGTCATGCAGAGGTTTGTCTTGCCAGCGTTGTTTTATCTGTTCAAGATCTTTATCGTTGGTTTCTTTTTCGTCTTTTTTACTGCAACAGTTGGTTCTTGGCGTTTTTTTTGTTTGTTTTCTACAGAATCTACTAAATGTAAATCTGGTTTGTGTTTTCAATTTTCTTTCATGATTGAATATTCTTTTCTTTCTGGTTTCGTGTTGTTTAACTAATTGTATCATCCAGTTCTTTGTTGTTTCTATGTATGTTATTAAGCCAATAGTTGTCGTCTTCTATGGCACTTCTCGTTCAATAAGACCTCTTTCACCTTTTTACAGGCTATGTAGACATGGTCTGTATCAACTTTTACCTGACTCATGCTATGCTTAAAAAGAAGTTTTCTTGTCTTAAAATCCATTCGTTTGATGTCATTTAAAGAACTGTTCAAGATGTTGAAATTATATTGAACCACTGGGATAGCATAGATATTAATGGCCATGATTCTGTTCTGAGAATACATTTCAGTTCTTAATATCAGTCATGCTCTTCTATAATACGCTTTTCGCATTATTTCATTATTTATGGTAAATCCCTTCAAGCTCATTTACATCGGGGTAAGCTTCCTTTTTCTCTAAATCTGTGATTTTTATTCTAGAGTCTAAGCTAACAGAGGAGATTTTTTGTAGTGATCCCCGTAAAATTATGGCTTTAGCACAATTATCGAAGCCGAATTCCATTCCAATGTCATCATTGAAACATTTACCGTTTTCAGGAAACCTTCCCGCTCAAAGTTTTTCCTAGCATACAACTTCATACAAAGTCATCCATGTAAATCAAATGACAGATATTCTTTTGAAATACCTTATAGTGATATTAGGGATATACAAAATAGTAAGGCAGACAAAAAGTCACCTCAAAATATTCCATTATTACAAACTTATAGATTCTATTTATCGGATTGAGGTGAAGTGTTGTTTTCCATATAGACATATTCGTTTTTTGATGAAATTAATTACGACTTGTGATACCTTGTATATATATATATATATATATATATATATATATATATATATATATAAAGACTTTAAGATGCAGGAATGGGCTGCACTATCGAATGTCTTACGGTAATATATCCAACCACTACAGAGATTTTTCTTTGTACTGAAGCTGTTTTCCAAGATGATCCTATTAAATCATAGTTGGTTTTTACATCGGTAATAGCCACGTTTCCACCCTTTTATGTTTTTTATTTGCATAGAGGCATTATGTCATTTTTTTTCTTTATTTGCAGAGAGGTATTACGTTATTTTTATTCTAAGAAGGATTATTATTATTAATTACTATATTTTTATTTCTGGTGTATACTGATTTCTTTCCGGGTTCCAACCAGAGATCTTAGGCCAGAAATAGCTTCATGACTTTTTCCACTGATAATTTTTTGAAAATAATTAAAAACAAAAACAAAACCTAAGATCACACACATTTTCCACAGACAGCGCAATTCGTAAGGTGTGAGCAGTATATGTGAATACAGTTTTCTGTATCTCTTTAAGATCCCTGGTAGCCCACCGACAAGGGATCCCTCCAGCGTGTCTATCGGAACCTTTTCTAATAAATCCGAGGGCTCCAGCTACAACTGGACATTTTTATGTCCTCATATCCCACAGTTTTTGAGATTTCGATTTCAAGGTCCTATTACTCTGATAGTTTTTTTTTCTTCTTTTCCTTTATCTTATAAAAATAGACTGCAGTCTGCAGGGACTTCAAAAAGAACGCACATTTTGTCTTTGCGGTCTCTAATCACGATGTTGAGCTTTGATGGTTCTGTCTGTATGTATTTTAAATCCCATAAAATTCTTACAACCGAGTCAGGTTTAGAAATTTTGTATAAATATAGTTTAATCGGAAATACGTATTATTATTATTATTATTATTATTATTATTATTATTGCTATAATTCGATTTCTGGTCGATTAGATTTTATTGTTTTCTCTGAGTGTATTGTAAAATCCCATAAAATTGTTACAGGCTCTATCCCCGTAACTTATTCTGGGTGGTGTACATGCCAATTTCTTGCAGTTTCTTTTACCTAAATGTTGCATGTTTTCCAATGCAGATATTGGCCTACTCTGTCATACTGGGTTTTATATTCTGTGGGTAAATTATTATTATTATTATTATTATTATTATTATTATTATTATTATTATTATTATTGTTGTTGTTGTTGATATTATTGTTATCGCTTTATTATTATTTTTGTTATTATTATTATTACTAATTTATCATTGTTGTTATGATTATTATTATTACTAGTAGTAGTAGTAGTAGTAGTAGAAGAAGAAGAAGAAGAAGTAGTAGTAGTAGTAATAGTAGTATTAGCATTAATATCCTCTCTGACTCTTAGTTGTTTCGGCTTGTCGATGTGGATCATATCTCATCTCGTATTTACAGCTTATGAACTGATCCGAACAGAGTTGCCACACACTCCCAAACGAACACCACAAGGCCCCTTGTGATGGAGATAGATTCTTGAAGATTGTTATTATCATAATTAGTATTTATTCGTTGATTTATTCAATTGGTGTTTACACCAAAGCTTCCTGACAGCATGACTCCTGCCCATTACAGAAGTCATTATCCTAGCTATTTTCAACAATGTTATAGTTTGTGTGTTTCCATATCTTACCGGAATTTTCAGTTCCTTCATTTCTTAACCTGGTTCTTCCGGATAATTCCTGGTTTTGCGTTAATTATTGTCACAGCTATTGCAATCATGTTGCAAAATATCTTCAGGTTTCCTGATGAGATCTTGTCGCTTTTATAGATTTTTCTTTCTTTCTTTCTTTCTTTCTTTCTTTCTTTCTTTCTTTCTTTCTTTCTTTCTTTCCATCTGTCTTTCATTCTTTCTTTCTTTCTGTCTTCTTCTTCTTCTGATTATTTATTTATTCTCTGACTGTTCACAGCGTAGATTAAGCCAATGTCCTCACCATTCAAGTACTTTCCGCAGTATCGTAGCCATTTTCAACAATATCGAAGTCTTGATGCTTTCAGATCTTTCCCTACTCACCAGTTTCATCCAGTCTTTTCCCCTGGCTCTTAAAGACAGTTTCTAGTGTTCCTGTAACGATCGGTTCGTTCAACTGTCACCTTCATGCTCAACATGTCCCTGAACATTTTGAAAAAGTGCAGAATTATTCAATAAACTTTCCAGTCAAATCATTTCTGTTTTCCACCGGGACTCCGTTGTTTGGCACGTTTATATCTTGTTTACTGGTAGCGAGACCTGACTTCTGACATCGAATGGAAGATTCATTTGAATTTGAAAACATTATTATTATTGCTGTTGCTGTTCTTATGCTGCCGGTAATAACAATATTATTAACGTTGTTTTCGTGATTTTTACATTGCTAAAACAATACTAGGAAAAACTAAGTGAGTAGACGGCCATATGTTTTTCTTAATTTTTTAAAGAGAAGTTAAAAACCGTGGTGAAACTAGCCAAATAGAGAATAAGAGCAACTGTTAGAAAGAGAGATCAATATAACGTAAACTAAAAAAAAATCGACAAAAAATATTCTCTACAATCTAAGACTCTTTTAAAAGCCCGTATCACTGCCGTATTTGAAAGGACAGAAAGAAAGAAATAAAGTAAATAATGAAGCGAGATCAAAGGCTGAAGAATAAGAATTAAAGAAAAAAGAAAGACTACCGAGCATAAATATTAAAACGAATGTTGCAGTTAATATGGGGGAAGGTAAAGATTAAGGCATATTTTTACAATGAACAAAGAGAAAAGAACCCAAACAACAAATAAACGGAAGAAAACATTTTAAGCTAGTGAAGCTGAAATCAAATGATTCTATTCAAAATATTTACAAAACAAATAATCATAGCCTACTTAAAAGAATAAAAAGAAATACTTTCAGCTCAGATTAATGAGTGCATAAATAAGTCAACTCTATTTAGATAATTAAAATATATATAAAATAGAGAATCATTTAAACAAAATATACACACTCTCAGATACACACACACATACGCGCACGAATACATACATACATACATATATATATATATATATATATATATATATATATATATATATACTAAGAATAAATATGCATTTCATCCTCAGAATTTTGTGCAAATCTGCGTTTTATGCGCATAGAAAACGTCAGGCACATATTTGAAAACTGAACTTTGTAATGTTTCAATAATTATGAACTTGTGTTGAGATAATTGAAAATTCCATTAACTTATGAGAAAAACTAAATGAAATGATAGAAAATTAATTCATTACAAGAGATGAATAGTTTATTTTTATATATATATATATACATACTGACAGACAGTTTCGCTGTATCACAGCTCATCAGTGCGACAAGACATCGAATTTCCTGAAGCCAGGATCGAAACCCGACTGATATGGCATCAGTCAAGGATTTTTTCTCGAAGCTAGCAGCTCCCGGCAGAGCGGAAGGTGAATTTTTACGTGTATATTTGTGTTCGTTTCATGAAAGAGCTTTGAATTGCATAATACACACACACACGCACTTCCGCACACACGCGCGCACACACACACACACACACACACACACACACACACATATATATATATATATATATATATATATATATATATATATAGAATGACGCTAATGCAAGGCATGGGAGTAGTGGCAGCAATGAATCTACATGAAGGATTGCACTTTTGATGTTGATTGGTCTCGATTTTAATTACCCATTAGTATGGTTTAGGCTTAATGTGGTCTTCCAGCTTTTCATGATATCCGTTATGAATTTAACCGGTATGCGGTAAAATCTGTATATTTTTAGACTCTTCTCTGTCATTGAGTGTGTTACACTGTAGAACGCCTTTCTTTACTGTTTTAACCTCTTCCAATATCGTTTTTATTAACATTTAGTTGGCCCGTGCATCCGTAACTTCTGTTCTGCTGGGAGTAAATTGGTTTTATCAAGGAAGTTATATGTTCTCTCGGATATGATAGAATTGAGGACCTTCTAGATTGTTGGTAGGAAGATGATGAGCCTATAAATCTTCGGGTCCTGCGTCTCTTCTGTCTTGGGGAGTAGGAATGTTACTAGTCACGTGAGCATTTAGGGCATCTTTCTGGGTTTAGCATTATATCAGCGTATGCCCGTGTGAGGTCTTGGTGAGTGCTAAATTGTCTAATCGGTCTGCTTTTCAGGTTCTGATTTTGCAGATGGCGGTGGTTGATACATATATATATATATATATATATATATATATATATATATAGGTTGGTGCAAAAATAAAAATAAATAATAATGTCGTTTTTGACGTATTTTAAGGTCAAAAACGACATTATTACGTCATTATTTTTGCACCAACCGTGGCCTGGCGATTGCATATAGCATGAAACAGACTGTCGCCTCTAAGTGTTGACTTCTATGTTCACTTTTATATATATATATATATATATATATACTAATAATGTTTAAAGAAAAGTTTATTATAAGTGATTTTTTGTATGGTTTATAAAATAAAAAAAATGTATATAAATTACTAATAAATAAAAAATTAACAAAAGACTATTAAAAAGATAATCGATAGACACTATCACTGCAATCACCACCATTATTATCATCATCACAACTGCCACCATTATTATCATTACTCTTATTGCATTCCTGTTTCTTTTTCTTCCTTCAACCTGTTTATCAGTAATAAGAATCTCTGTTCAATGCTCTGTCCGAATCAAGTAAAAACAACATTAAGATTTGCTTATAGATTTACTAAAACCCATTACATATCAGACATATAAACAAATAATATAACTTTGTAACATGCCTCGAGTCTAAAATTAAAATATTATTAGTCTTAAATACGTCTTTAAACTAATCAGTGTACACGCTTATATATATATATATATATATATATATATATATATATATATATATATATATATATATATATATATTCTAAGCGTGTCTTAGATGTGGCCCTAAGCCGAAAGCATCGGTTACTCAGTGAGGATCGAAATATATCACACATTATGAAATGGACAACGTCCGACAATTATTTAATGACATTTCTATGTTTATACATTCTTTTTATAGATACAAATATTTACATAAATGCTCTGTTTATAATAAACAGTATTGAACAACATGTACCGGCCTGAATGTCCGAGAAATTTTCATAGAAAATATTCGTCCTCCGAGAGGAATCGAAACTGTATCCTATACAGAATCTTCATATAGCCTGACGTAACTTTAACCGATTTGGCCACAGAGGATCTTTCGGTTAGCAAGATGGATTTCACTGTCTTTAAACTACAATCTTCCATGATTCTCTCACGTACATTCATATCTGCTCATGGCGTATCAAAATGTAAACAAATGACGTCACACATTATGAAATGGACACAGTCCGACAATTATTTCAAGGTATTTGTATGTTTATACATTCTTTTTATACATGCAAATATTTAAGAAATGCTTTTTTTATAATATATGGTATTTAATAACATTTACCGGCTTGAATGTCCGAGACATTTTCATAGAAAATATTCTTCCTTCTACAGGAATCGAACATGCATCCTATACTGAACCGTCATATAGCCTGATGTGCCTTTAACCGATTTATATATATATATATATATATATATATATATATATATATATATATATATATATATATATATATATATATATATATTAAAGAGAAATAGACCACTATAATGTACCATTATAATAATTTATTTCACCAGAGCTCTTTTAAAGGACGCCGGATCATCAGATAGCACTTCCAAAAAATGATATATTGAATGGGAGGAGAAAAAGAAAAGAAAAATATATATATATATATATATATATATATATATATATATATATATATATATATATATATATATATATATAATATATAATATTATCTTCATTGTTATTACTACAATCCTTTATTTTTTCTTCTTCTTCTTCTTCTTCTTCTTATTATTATTATTATTATTATTATTATTATTATTATTATTATTTTCTTTGATTTATGGCGTCCAAACCAGAGACTTATAGTCAGAAATGTCATCATGACATTTTCAACTGAGCATTTTTAAGTAAAAATGGAAAACAACCTAAGATCACATATTTTACACGGATAAATCCCTTCGTAAGTTGTGGGCTATACTTCTGAGTACAATATTTATCAGTTTAAGATTTGAGGTAACAGGGATCTCTTCAATGAGTCTATCGGAACCTTTTTAATCAGTCCGAGGGCTCCAACTACAACTGGAATTATTGATGCCCTCATATGTCACATTTTGAGATTTTCACTTCAAGATCCTTGCATTTTGATATTTTTTTTTTTTTTTTTGAAGATTTTCAAGGATATGTCAATAAGAAAGCACATTCTGTTTTTGTGGTTCTTGATCACGATGTCTGGGCGATTAGCATTGATTGTTCTGCCTGTGTGTACTGTAAAGTCCCTGTTGTGTCGGAAACCTACCACCCCTCTTGAAAATGAACTTGTCTGCGAACAAAGACTTTAAATAGTGGCATGTCAAAAGACATTGACAGAAAAGTTCTTAGCTGAGCTAGTTATTGACTACTCATGTGATTTCTGTACCTCTTTACCAACCTATTAAAACCCTTTTTATTGTTACGTGTTATTTGGCGTTTGTCTCTACTAACCCCAAATCAACATCATAACAGTTCCATAAAATTGTTGCAGGTCCTATTTCTGTAACTGGGTCTGGATGATGTTCATACCAGTTTCTTGCAGTTTCCTTCCGTAAAAGTGTCATGTTTTCATGTGCAGATATTGGTTCACTCTGTCAAGCCATGTGTTTTTTTTAGTTTTTTTTTAATCGGTATCACCCCAGGCAAGACAGTACAGCAATTAAAACTCAAGAGGTTACATGATGTGGAGGAGCAGAAGCATCAAGAATGAGTAGGAGAAAAGCATAATCAGGAAGACATTAACATTATATAAATAACATTTCAGATATTAATTTAAGATTTATTAAAAACTAGCAGTAGAGCCCGGCGTTGCCCATAGATGTAACAGTAAGAGATAGATCAAGTATCGACCATCATAAAGACTGAAAAATAAGATTGAAAAACATTATTGTTTAAGGTTGACGGACACGCATGCCTTAATTAATTTTTTTTTTTTTACGAATTGGTCAAACCCAAACCCAAACAAAAACATTGTTGTCAATCGTTATGAGTCCACACACACACACACACACACACACACACACACAACCTGGGTTTTATAATAAGTATAACTCGATATGAGTTGTCCCCCTTTCATTCTTGTGACAGCGATGCCTCTTAATCGTGTTTTCAAATTGATTTCGTGCAAAATCTATTGTGTTTTTTCCAATTTTTGGCGCTGTCAGAACCACCGTAAGGTAATTTTACTTAGCCATGTGAAGTTTTATTGAAATCGGTTGAAAAATGTAGGAAATCCGATCCAATATACAAACGAACAGACACACACACAACCTGGGTTTTATAATAAGTATGATTTCATATAGAAAAATCGTGAAATTTTCACGGGTATTCCTAGTTCTTGATGTTATAATTATTATTAATGATAATAATAGTGAATAATACAAATAATAAAGAAAAATTGAATTTTCACACAATTCGGTATAATTTTCAGTGAAATCAATCTTCCTCAGTAATTTACTATTCATTTTATTTATTCAAAATACTGTGGTGTGGATGATTTCAATTCTTCCCAGAAGTTCAATTTCTGCAATTTTCCCATGGTCTTCAAAATATATAGAATACAATAGGATTAACTTTCAAGTTGAAATATTATAAAGGTGTCTACTATTTGAAATCTTCTCTAGTTTCCTTTTTTTAAAGGTAGGTAATCATTTATCTGCCTAACGAAAAAAAAAAAAAAATTGATTGGTCGTTTGCATCCGAAGCAGAGACCTTGAAAGTTATTATTTAGTAAGCTGAAATCTCGTTTTGCAAACGCTATCTGATTTATGTTATTTTTCTGCTCTAGTTCCCAATTTTCCAGACTGTTGAATTCGCTTTCACGGTGTCCATTATTTCTTTCACTTCGTTTGAAATTATTCTATTTCACCAAAAAATACGGATTTCAAGCGGAAGTGTATCCACAACTTTTTCTGCGTCTTTTAATTAAATGTTCTTTTGAATCTCTGAGTAGTTTGCGTTTGATTAGATTATTCGTTTTAACGACATTTCAACACCACTTGCCTCATTTAACATTGAATATAAGGTATTCTCTAGTGTAGACTATAACGTGAATGCTTATGAAGCTAAAAACTTGGAAGAAATTAAATCCTTCGTAGTTCAGACATAACTATGTATGTTTTAAAGTTGTACCATATAATCCTTTAAATTTCAATGTCGTGCATATATTACACTAACATATTTGTTTTTACCATATTAAAGAAGAGAAAAGAACTGTATGTTTAGTCATTGCGTGATTCTCTTAATTTTCTTTTCAAAACTTATTTTCGGGGAAAGGTGCCAACTCGACATACCCTGTAATACATTTGAAGGTGTTAATTAGTCTATCATAGTGTTCTGTTTGATATGATTTTATTATATGAACAATTTCTCCGAGTTAACCTGTAGAAAAAGACAATATGTCTATGTAATAATAAAATATGAAAAATAAAATAATATTGTCATAAATTAAGAATTAAGAGAGAAACACATATTCCTGGTATATCAAATAACTTTTGTAAACAATTGTTATCAACACCTGCCTTCATTTTTTTGTTTTTTTTCTTTTTATTGTTGTTTTTTTATTAACTATTGGTTTAGTTGAATGTATTTGCAAGTTTGCTTTTTCAAATAAGAGTTTGTTTTTAAGTTGAGCAAAAATTTCTGAAAACGTGTCCATATTTATAACACAACCATTTGCTCTTAATTTACGTTCAAATAGTCTTGTATTTTGCACAAGGAAATACGCCAACTACTAGAGTTAAAAAAAATCATCAAGGGTTAGATACTTGGTTTGCACTGAAGTTTAAAATAAGTAGACATAAGTTCATTTTGCGTTCGAGCCGGAAATGTAGACACGGGTCCGTTTTGAACTCGAGACAAATAAATTCAAATAGGTAGAAACAGGTCCGGCTATGCAAATTCTGAGAGGAGTTCTTTTTTATTATAAATTAGATTTTACTTGCTATTCCGAATTTCACCTTTTACCTTTGTGACAACCATTTTTCACCTGACTAACAAGCAGCTATGGAGAGGACAATCAGCAGGTGAGGTATAAAATTTCGGCCAAAAATCTATGATCTCTCGTGACCGGCGGAAGCCACATATATTCTTTCTCTACTTTAAACAAAATGATAGGAAGGAAATCGTATCAGAACTAGAAACAACGATAACAGTTAGTGGTTTTCTATATTTCTTGAAAATCTGTTTTAAGGGAAATATTTTCAAATTCCAACTGACAACAATGTTGACTCTTCTCGCGATGAATGTCATATGTTTCTTGGATAGAAGTAGCCTCTCCCAAAGTCTATCCGTACTTGTTAGTAATTGTTGGTTAATATTCTCAGTACCCATTTACATCCCCTGCTCGAAGATGGACATTTCGACTGCTGTTATCTACCGAGAAACCGTTTTTTTATTATGGTTATACTATGCTTTCTTCCAGTTGTCGTTCTCGTATACCACGAGAACTGAAGGATTATTCACTGAGTAATAGTGTTGCTACCAGTAATTCGACGCTAGATAATCCTCAAGGTTTGAATGATTGATTTGTTTAAGGGAAACTGCTTATGGGCCATTTAATGAAGAAATTATAATTTTCTTGGGAGATTTGAAGTAATAAAAATGATATGTTATTCTGCTTTCACAATTGAATATATGGTAGATGATACTCAGCTTTTTTGCATATACGTCTGTATGGACATAATCATTACAGGCAGCGATATATATGTTTTATCTTGTAGTTTTCTTGCAGTTATATTTTGCAATACAGTTTGATTTCTTTAAGAAATTGTAGTATATTATATGGATTAATGTCAGGAAAGAGTTCTTTCGTCTTTCTTGTTTAGTTGGTTGATATTGCTTAGCGGCATATCAATCTCTATGGATTATTTAATGCCGAAATCTAAATATTTTATACGAAATTTTAAGCATTTATTTACAGATATTTTGTACATAATGTTACACTTTCAGAGTAAAGGCATTTTATTTTAAATATATATTTTTTAGATCATAAAAGATATTGTTGGTTATTTTACTATGAAAATGTATTTTCCTATTTTCTTTTCATTCTTGCTATAAAAATGCATTGTTTGTCATCTCATGATAAAAATGAAGTGGTGATTTTTGTTTGGGTGGTCACTTTTTTTACCCTAGCTGAGTTTCTAACAAGTGCTACCACTCCGGATCAGAGAGCAAATTATGAAACAGCCAGTAAGGATCGACTTCACAACTCAGTCTTAATTTTTCAATCTAGATAATCACGTCGAGGAGCTCAAAGCCCCCTACACGACACGGGTAGGGGGTGAAAATGGATAAATTGTATTCTTTAGTAATTAAACAAATTATTTCATTAGTAAAAAATAGATTTTATTCATTATTAATTATGACTAAAAAAAATGTACCTTATTTTTCTAGAAAGGAAACGTGTCATAATATATAAATTTGTGTGTCACGTGAATTCATATTTCTTATAAATATTAAAAAGACCGCCATTTGGTTGAAAACAGTGCTAGTGAAATTTTGCAATAAACATTTTTTTTTATTTATAAGTTGTATGCAAAAATTAGTTAAGTGGAGCTCGAATTTTATTTCACGTCTCTGTTAAATTATGATTGCTTACACTTTATATTGGTGTATAGATTTTTGGGATTCCTCTGCGTTTTCGTATCTTTCTATCACCATCGTCTATTGCAGTAAGTTTCCCAGATATTTGAATTACCAAATTTATTTGATGCTTAATGTCTTCGCACAATAATTCTCTCCCTAAGCTACGGTTTTATATTCCTAAGAGAAAAAATATATTGTAATTATGAATGAAGTAATAGGAAAAAATCATTTCGAGAACGCGTTTTGCTTCTCAATTAAGAAACATCAACTATCTGCAAGGTGTGTCCATCAGACTGTCCTGCCCTTGGCTCAAACGTAAAATTCATACAATAAAATTTTTATTTTATATATATATATATATATATATATATATATATATATATATATATATATATATATATATATGCTGTAGAAAATATACTTTGTGCCTTCTTTATGCGCTTGGTGTTTGCAATAATCATAAAGTAATTTCTGAAGAACCCACTTACCGATTTTGGTGCCAAGAACTGTGGGAACGATGGTATGTTTGTGGTCTCTTTTGGATGAAAATCTTCAGCGAATGCAAAGCGAATAATCTGTTGCGGTGCCATTAATGAAATTACCGCTGCCAGCCACAAGACTTCACATCGCGCTCCGTGATTACATCTACGACGTCGAGATGCTCACCAAATTACAGCGATAAATTGCCATTCTCCGTAGACAAGGAAGAACGCAAGCGAGCAATGGAGTGCCAAGAGCCAAGATCGCCAATTTTGCTGTTTGTGCCTCGGGCATATCAGAGCTTGTCATTCATTTTACATTTGTTTTGCTTTAATTTCTAAGAAAGAAGTTATTTCTTTTATGTTCAATTCCTTGGATTTTCTTTCTTTTCTAGTCTTTTTCTTTCTTAATTCATCGCCATTTTCTTTTCATTTTTTCTTTCTTCCTTTCTTTCTTAAAGTATTTCCTATTTCATGATTGTTTTTCTCATTCATTCATTTGTGAATACATTCTTTTTTCATTACTAGCTGTGAAGGTTTTCTATAGTTTCTTTAATGAACTTTCTTCACTCATTCTTTTTTTTTTTTTTTTTTTTCTTTCTTTCTTTCTTTCTTAAATTTGATAATCATTTAATCCTCACTTCTTTAGATACCTTTTCAATTTTTATTCTTTTTTTCTTTCTTATCATTTCGGATATGTTTATTTTCTTATTGTCCTTCCTTTCTTTTTAATTTTCTTTCTTTCTTTCATTCTTTTCTTTCTTTTCTTTCTTTTTCATTTAGGATGTTTCTATTCCCTTATTGTTCTTCCTATCTATTTAATTTCCTTTTGTCTTTCTTTCTTTCTTTTTATAATTTCGGATGTTTCTATTTTCTTATTGTCCTTCCTTTCTTTTTAATTTTCCTTTTTTCCTTCTTTCTTTCTTCCTGTTGTAATGGAATTTCTCGCACTCCCTATCGACTATGTGGACTGACTATATCATTAGCTATTTATAGTGAGCAGAGAATATACTTGGGTTTTGCTTCGGGAATTACTAGCCTGCCACCCGATTCCCTGTTTTTCAGTAGTGTATTCTCTTTTACAATAAACTTCTTTTCTTTCATTTATGTGCGTGTTGCTGTAAAACGTACAACAGTAGTAATTACGGATTTGAATGACTTACGTTCAAAATACTCAGTGATTGCACAACAGATATGGAACAACTGGTTGAATTGACTAAAGTATTACACGCTAGTTGACAGTTACAACAACAACTAGTGCAACAATAATAACAACAACAACAACAGCAACTGCTGCAGTAACGACAATTGCAAACAACAGCAACAGCAACCACAATTACAGCAACAGTTGTTAGAGCAAGAAGAAAAAATTGAAAAAAATCACAAAAAAAATTGTCAAGATGAACTGATGCACTTACGAAAACCACAAACAAAGGACACTAAGCTATTGAGCTGAAGTGTAATATCTAAAACAACAAAAGAACGGGTCTACAAATTCTTTTACCCTGAAGGAATATCGAATTCGTTATCAGAAGTCAAGTACGACCCGGACAATAGAATAACTTTCCCTGCCTATTTTCATAGATATGAGATGATTTTTTTTCGAAAAGGTGCGTACAATGCTCCGAGGAGGAGAAAATTACGTAGTTAGTCCAAAAATTAGGTACAGAAAAGGACACAAATACTCGAACCTAATTTCACCAAAAAAGCCGGAGGAAATCTCGTTCGAGGAGACCATAAAGATTTTATCAGGAATTTTCGACGAAGGAGACAGTTTGTTCTATACTCGATACAAGTGTTTGAACATTGTAAAACAAGATAATGAAGAATTTGTGACTTATGCAGGCAATGTAATTTCGCAACATGAACTGTTTAAATTAGGCGAACTTTAAGTCGAAATGTTTTAATGTTTATTCTTCGTCCGGGGACTTAGAGCGGCGAAGGACAAAAACATCTGTTCAAGGATTCTGACAATTATGGAGCAAGAACCTCAAATTACGCTACAGAAGATGACTGAGAAATGCCAGAGGCTGATAAATGTAAAAAGAGACAATACGCAGATCGAAGAAATGGACGATAAAACAACCAAAACTTACAAAATATAAGGCGAAATCATCCCAGTGTGATGCCTGTGTGTGTGGGGGTGAGTCATTTAAAAAAAGGACTGTTTTTTAAGGATAAGGTTTGCTTCGAGTGTGGCTATGTCGGTCACAAAAACTCCCACTGTTGGTATAAACAGAAAAGAAGCAAAAATTTAAATCAAAAGTAAATTTTGTTTTATCCAAGAACGAAATTGAAAATGGTGAAAAAAGAAAAGCGTAAATTCGAAAATAAATAGTCATACAGTGAAGTCATTGTTGGATACCGGAAGTGATATTTCTATTGTGAATGAACAAATATGGAAGAAAATGTATTGTCCATCATTAAGGAGTACGAAACAAATAGCTGGAAGAGTGCCTGGCAACGCATCATTTATGATAAGGACTTTCAAATCAAAAGTCTATATTCTTCCAGGTTCGATGATTTTATTTGGTACAAAATGGATTGTGCTTTTTGATTTATGGGAATTACTTGTGAAGTCATTTTGCAACAAACTGGACGTGTCAGTAAATGAACAATCTGAAGAAACAGAAAAAAATATTTCTGATATGAAAAACCTCCACGTTTGTTTTCTGAAGGTCTCGGGCTATTCACTAAAGCCGAGATCAGGTTCGAACTTAAAGACAACATAAGAACAGTATTCAAAACAAAAAGAAATATAGAATTTTCGGCTTTGGATTTAGTAATTTTTTGGAAAGGGCCGAAGCTCTTAAAAATCTGCCACCACCAAACAACGTCCTTAATCTTCAGGTGTTTTTAGACTTGGCCAAATTTTTCAGTATCTACATTTAAAAAATCTATGATCTTAGCGCTTCACTGAATGACTTATTGAAAAAGAGTGCGAAATGGATTTGATCTAATGAATACGAAGATGCTTCCAAGAAAATAAAAAAGCTGTCTGTTATCAGATTTATCGTTAGCGCATTTTGACCCTAAAAAAGAAATGTTGTAGCATCTGACGCTAGGAACTATGGGATCGGAGAGATAATTATCCACAAGTTTGACTGAAAAACCCATAGCCCATGCTTCCAGAACCCTGCTTCCTGCAGAAAGAAGTGATAGGCAAATCGAGAAAGAAAGCCTGGCCTCCAGTTAAAAAATTTTACAGGTTCATCCATGGAAGGAAATTTACATTACAAACGGATCATATACCGTTGTTAACAATTTTTGAATCAAGAAAAGGTATACACACGCACACTGCTAACAGGTTACAGCGCTGGGGAATAATCTTGTTGAAATACGACTTTAAGATGGAATACCTACTCTCGAAAAAACTAGGACATGCCGACGGCTTTGTCTAGGTTGATTCCAAAATTTGCAGAACCGTTAGAAGACACGGTGATAGCTGCTTTAAAGAATAAAAAAAAGAATTATCAGAGTTACTATGCAATACAATACGGGAGTTACCTGTGAACGTAGAAGATATTAAAAAATAGTATCTGAGAAGAACGAATTCATTAAAAAACTGAAGTAACAGGTAAGACTAAAAGGAAAATTTAAAAAAGGATCTATTATATCACCTTGCTCATTCTGCGAACAAGTGATATTATATGCAGATAGAGCGATAATGACATATAGAGTGCAAAAGAAAATCCTGAAGATATTTCATATAGGTCATCCGGACATGTGAAGAACGAAATCATTAATACGTAGCTGAAAGTATTAGCCTAGGATGAACCAGGATATCGAAAAAATGGTAAAAGCGTTTAGAGATTGTCAACTTGCTGCAAAAGTACCAAAAATAAAAATTCAGCCATGGCCTAAAACGAATGTTCCATGGACGAGGTTTCACATCGGCTTCGCTGAACCTATAAATTGTTATTTCTACCATACAATCGTGGACAGTTTTTGCAAATGGCCGGAGATATTCAAGTGTAAACACCCGACATCAGCAAATAATATGAATGTGCTAAACGGTGTACCAAAAACTTTAATTAGTAACAACGGGGCACAATTTACCAGCAGAGAATTTAAGAATTTCTACACATTTTTGTCCATAGACTATATAACGACCTCTGTTTACCATCCCAGATCAAATGGGCAACAAGAAAGATTCGTGGCCACTTTTAAAAGAGCTCTAAGAAAGAACCAAGGCGTGGATACTGATGAGAGGAGTATACAAAGTGTTTTAACGGTTTACTCCCAATCTGAAGTCATGTTCATGACTATCACCAGCAGAACCGTTATTCGCAAGATCAATTCGGCCAGTGTTTGACAGCCTGTTGCCTAGTCCAACGAAATGAGTGATGAAAAAAGAAAACCTTGCGATCAAATTTCTTCAGAAATTATAGAGGAGGAATGAGCTTCTGGGAAGATGGAATTATCACGAAAAGACATGGCAGAGTGATATACACGCTCAAAAGATGACGATATTAATGTAAGAGACATTTCAAGCAGTTAAGGCGGAGACATACGAAAGATGTCACGCCTAGCGAAGAATTACCAATGGAAGTAATATATATGACGTATTTGAAATACCAGTTCCCATATCTCCACCAGTACCGATGGAAGTATCTCCAACCCCGCCAGTGTCGGATGTATCCAGCTCCCCGAAAACCGCTAAGGCCTCAAATCTCACCAGCACAAAAATTGGTCAAACGGAGAATTACTAGGAAGTGGAAAAAGTCAAACAGTTATGTCCTGACCACAAAAGAGGAGGTGTTGAGCAAACTTTCATGGGAAAATTAGCTCAGGGGGAGGTGTTGTAATGCAATGTCCCACACTGCCTATCTATGGGAATTGACTATATCAGTAGCTATATTTAGTGAGCACATGATATACCTGAGGCTTGCTTCGGGAATTAGTTGGAGATTCATTTCAAGCTGTGCTGGTCAAGCTCTCTGCCCTCGAGCAGAGAGGATCCCCAGACGTGGCTATATCAAAGGGCAGAGTCTCTTCTCGGAAAACACCTACCCGACCTCGTTTTATACGGAGACATTTTGGCCGAGAATAGGGGCTCGGTTACCCCAGGTTAAATTCAGCCTTGTGCCACATCTGGCTGCGTTGGGCGGTTGGTAGATATCCTTGCTTCGGGAATTACTAATCCACCGCCCGATTATTTCTCTTTTGTTTCATCTACGTGTGTGTTGCTGTTCCTTCACTTGAGTACGACATCTGTCCGTAACCTCTTTAAGGATACAACACTTCCTTTCTTTTCATCATTTCCGATGATTCTGTTTTCTGATTGTCCTTCTTTTCTTTTTAATTTTCTTTATTTATTTCATTCTCTCTCTGTCTTTTTTTCTTTTTATAATCTGGGAGGGTTCGATTTTCTTATTGCTCTTCATTTTTAATTTTTTTGTCTTGTTCTTTCTTTCTTTCTTTCTTTCTTTTTATAATTCCGGATGTTTCTATTTTCTTATTGTCCTTCTTTTCTTTTTAATTTTCTTTCTTCCTCCCGCCCTTCCTTCATTTCTTTCTTTCGATGCTTTCTTTTATTTCTTTTTATAATTTACTAAGTTACTATTTTCTTAATTTTCTTACTTTCTTTTTAATCTTCTTTCTTTTCTTTCTTTCTTTCTTTTATTTCTTTCTTTCTTTTATTTCTTTTTATAATTTCGGATGTTTCTATTTTCTTGTCATTTTTTCCTTTCTTTCCATTAATTTTTATATTTTCTAATTTTTTTAATTCATAAAATATGTAAATCTTTATGAATATATTTTTCCACTCATTCATGCATAACTTTTCTTTTCTCTTTTCCTTTTTTTCATTGTCGTTCCATTGTCTTATTGGATTTTCTACTATCCTTCCCGTAGTCATTCATTCATTAGATATTTTCTAATGTGTTTTTTTTTGGATTTGTTTTTAGGAGGCGACGATTGATATTTATTTCACTGATTTATACTATAAAGCAAAAAACGCGGACAGTCGCTCAACTTTGTGTACGCATTAGAAATACTATTAACATTAACAATAAGAACAACAACAACAACAACAACAGTACTAATATACTAGTGCACGGTGATAATTTGTACTGGAATTAAAAACACAAATATATATATATATATATATATATATATATATATATATATATATATATATATGTATATAAAATTTATTACAGATTGTATTTACACACATATATATATATATATATATATATATTTTATTTATTTTAAATATATATATATATATATATATACATACAAAGTGTATGTGTGTGTGTGTGTGTGTATGTGTGTGTGTGTGTGTGTGTGTGTATGTGTGTGTGTGTGTGTGTGTGCGTGTATGTGTGTATGTGTGTGTGTGTAATGTATATGTGTGTCTGTGTCTAGGACATTTAAATGCGTTCCGGGAACATTTGTCGCAATGAACTTTTTTCAACGTAAGTTGCCTAATTATGAATATGACAATACGATAGGATAGTAAAGAGTAGGAAAAGTTAATAAATGTAACATGTTTCGCTTTATTACAGATTTGCCTGAAAATGAAATGTGAGGTAGAAAAAGAAAGAAAGAAAAATAAAAATATCTGGTATTTTTTTTAAAAAGATTGTGTTTGTTTTTCATTGGTTAAGCAGATTCCACGGACATCTCTCAGGTCAAGGATCACGCGTTTGTATAAGTGTGTTAGTGTATCATAATTCGAACTCTTCTCTTCGTTTGTGTATGAAGTATATGTGAGTATTTGTGCTTTTCTAGGGTATTTATATTTGGTTACTGTTGTAATCTAGAAAGGTTTACTGAATTAGGAATAACTAAAACGGAGGTTGAAAATGAAATGTTAATCTTTATAACATCAACAAATTTAAATACTCTCTAGCGGTGTAAAGTAGGTAGATCACTGATAGTGGTGAACTATTTAGACAGTATATTACGGTATTTAACTGCCTCTCTACAAGGTAGAATGCGACACAAGGCCAAATTTAATGTGGTGTAATCCGAGCCTGTAAACACGGACAAAAATTGCCCGTAGAGCCTGCATACGCGTGATCGTTATCTGTCTACTTCCCCAGACGAGTCTCTGCCCTTCGGTATAGCCACGTCTGGATTCCTGTCTGCCTAAAGTCAGAGACTTCGACACGGTAAGAGCTTCCCACGCTTAGGCATCATATTGCCCCCATTTTAAATAGTGTTTAACGTATTTATGAGGACTGTGACATACCCATCAGGACAGTATATAATAGTTATGATTTTACATCCATTCTATAGGTTATATTTTCTTTTGTTACTATTGTAACCTAGAAAGGGTTACTGAATGAGGAATAACCAAAACGGAGGTTGGAAATAAAATGGAAATCTTTATAACTTCAACAAAATACAATACTCGCCAGCAGCATGAAGTAGGTAAACCACTGCTAATGGTGGCTACTAGACAACATATTACCCCCACTTAAAATAGTGCCCAACGTATTTATGAGGATTCGGACATACCCTTTAGTGTTCATAGGTACTGTATATAAGACTATCTCAGTCTGTTCACATCTATCTCGTTCTGTTTTTATCTATATATTTATCTATATCAGTTTGTTAGTATATATCTATCTGTTGTGACGTAGAAAAGGTTACTCAATGAGGAATGACCAAAACGGAGGTTGGAAATGAAATGGTAATCTTTATAACTTCAACAAAATGCAATACTCGTCAGCGGCGTGAATTAGGTAAACCACTGCTAGTAGTGGCCTACTTAGATATCACTTACAATAGTGTCCAACATATTTATGAGGATTGGGACATATTCATTATTGTTCATAGGTAAGGCATATAACAGTTACTGAACGTGGGTCGCAATGCAAGAAAACTCATTTTGAATGCAACATGTCGTCGTGACTGACGGAAGAAATTTTGCCTTTTGGTGATGATGAAGATAAGGAAGTGGGGGAGGAGGGGTATGAGGATGAGGATGAATTGATACGCCCAATGAGTTGTCAGGTGGGAGTGAACATCTGCCAGGCTCTGAAAAAGCTCTATTCTTAAAGGTGTTTCCTTATTTGTTTTAGTCTTTTTTTTTACTGATGTAGACGTAATTACACCATAGCTTATTTTATCCTTTTAACTATTTTCGAAAAGAAAAACCCCAAAACAAAACTTAAAACAGATAGTGTAAGATGAAAGTAGCCTAATCTAACATGTTGTTATCTTTGTTCGTATATTCTATTTCATTCTAAGTTAATCAATCTGAGTGTATGAACGTAATTATATGATATGGAAAATATACATATATATGAATAAATAGATATAAGAATGAATTTGTGATAAAAAAAAAACATGTATGAATAATAACCTTCCACACACCTGCCTCGATTCTTTGACACATACATCCGGGCTTCGTGCATATCACGCCATATATGGTAATGATTTCCCTATGTGGAAAAAGTTTTCTTTTCCATCCACCTCTGCTCGTTCGCTTTTGATATGAATTACATATTATGGCTCACATAATGGCCATCTAATTAAGGAATTGAGTGTCCTTTTAAAACGCCTGGCCATTGTTGGACCGCAGCGCCGAGAAATAAACAGGCGCGTGCACATGAAACTGCCGGAAAAAGCAACGGAATTTAAGTTTTATATATTGAATTTTTCTCTTTCGAATATATATATATATATATATATATATATATATATATATATATATATATATATATATATATATACTATTTTACATCGATCACTATTTTATAGCATCTTCTAAGTAACTTTATATAATATATATATATATATATATATATATATATAATTCATTCGAATATTATAACAGAAATATGTAATAAAATCACTATAAAAAAGTGTTGATACAAAATGGATATTTTTGTAGTGATTTTATAAATTATTCATGTTATAATTTTGAATGAATTATATTTGCTCTATTCTGTATTGAGCATTCTTTTAAGAATAGTATTTGTTGATTATTAGAATTTATTCCGTATACACCAATCCTATACTTGTAAATATATATATATATATATATATATATATATATATATATATATATATATATATATATATATATATATATATATATATATATATATATATATATATATATATTACCTAATTACGTTAAATAAAAAAACATTAACAAATCAAAAACTGCGGATGTCCAACTAATAAAATCAATTGCAATAGTGTTCAATAACAGTGTCCAGCTTTATATTTACATTCGTTCTACTGAGATTGAGAATAGATTGATTATTAGAATTTAGTCCAATAATCTTGTAAATATATATATATATATATATATATATATATATATATTCACATATATATATATATATATTTATATATTTAATATCGTTAAATCATTAACAAATAAAAAATCGGATGTCTACTAATAAAATCATATATATATATATATATATATATATATTATATATATATATAATATAAATATATCATACATTCAAATTCTATTTATATTTTAATATCCATCTATCGATCTATCTCTATATATATATATATATATATATATATTTCATATAAAACTGAAGATGCAATCGACAGGTCTAGATGCAATCGTCAGGTTGCGTTGCGTCATGATGAAGACAGACTGTTGCCTCTCAGTATTGACTTCTATGTTCACTTTTATATTTACACACGCTCTATCTCTGACATTGAGCACTTTATTCCCATAAATATAAGACACCTTAAAACTATATTTTTCATAAAATATATA